AAGTGATAAGTGGGGTGATAACCACATCTCATGTGAGCTCAGGAAATCAGTGGGCAGATCTCCTCACAAAGGGATTGTCTCGGGGAAGAATAGATTACATTTGTAACAAGYTRGGACTATATGATAWATACTCTCCAGCTTGAGGGGGAGTGTTAGAATGCTCGAGTCAGGGGTATTTTGGTCATTCTGGATTATCTGCTTGAGAGTGAAAGGTCTATTGTATATGAGTTTAAGTTATGTGTCCCATCTTCTATGAGGAACAAAATGGTAACTCTATGTTTTTGAATAAATACAAGTGGGTCAGCTAGGGGAGGGTGATTTTGACTCTCTTCTAGTCTGGCCGAACCTTTCTTTCTTCTTCTTCTCTACTTCAACCTAGAATCTGCTAGGGTTTACTAACAGAACCCATACAGGTGTCACCATTCAGCTATAGGCACCTAGGAGAAGTTTTCAAGAGAAGATGACATCACTCAAGATAAGACCACTCTCTGTGAAATGTGAAATCCAGCACAAGGCATCAAAGCCTCACAAAAGAAGATACACGTTGAGATCAACTTGTTATGGACAACAAAATTTTCATTTGTAAGATGAAAAAGAAGATATACAAGAAACCTCGACAAAAGAATAGCATATCCAAACAATCTTCTTAAGATCAAACCTACAAGCACTTGATAAATTTGTTTAGGTGTGATAATTCATGAATTCTGATATTGGGTGGAGAGAAACACAAGGGGAAGAAGACAAGTTGTCTATGAGATAGAGAAGTAGGTAGAACAAGGGGGTATCATGATTATTTGGCCCAGAATCCATCATGACTCATGACACTATTCAGTTCTGCTTTATGAGAACAGATTGAATAATTCTTTTCTTTGGTAGAATGTTTCCCTATATTACCTAGATACAGTGAGGACACAGCTGGATGAAATATCAGATATGAAATTTATACTAAACTTGAAACATCCAACACAATACAGCACCCTTGTACAGGCATCCAGGTATCAAAATCTTAGTACAAAATTTACATAAAATTGAAGCATCCAGGTATCAATGTTTCCCATTGGAAATTCCAGTTCCTTTTGATTTACAGTAACCCCTAAAAAAATATTTCACCAGATGCCAAGAGAAACCAACTGTTCATACATCAAAGTTTCCTGACATCCTTTGAAAAGATGGTGGCTGGTAGAACATAAATCCAAGCTGGTTGACCTAAATTATAAATTCCCTAAATATCTATCAAAAAATTATAAATTCCCTAAAAAAGCATTTTAATCAATTTATCAAAAAAAATCATTTTGATTAATAATTCTAAACCTAATCAGTATCTTTCCCCTCGTTGGTGCTCTCACTGTAAGGTTAATTGTGAGAATTGCTCTCACTTATTAATTTCCTGCCCCTTTTCTTCTTCAATTTGGGAATGGTTTATTTCTTTGTTTGGGTGCAGGTGGAACCCTCCATTAAACGTACAAAGTCAGTTTGCCTCTACTTTTTTTTCAGTTGGCCAAAGAAGAGGGACAGAATTCTAGGGAAGTGCACGAGAGCTGCAATTTGCTGGACAATTTGGGAAGACAATGATGTAGGACCAGCTCAGTTCTAGTCCTTAGAGAATGTTGAATGGTCTTCTTGATTAGAATTTTATGGCTGTTGATGGATGAATGGCTTCTTGAAGGAATAAGAGAGAAAATAGGGAGAAGAAGAAGAGAGAAAATACCTGGAATCACTCACAGGGTGCCTAGAATCACTCTAAGGCATGGAAATCACTCACCATAGTTAGCATAAGCTGAAGAGAACTCAATATAATTCATTGCCTTTGTGTAAAACGTCCATACATATTTATAGACTCTAAACTCATAATAATCTTAGGAGTCAAACTGTTAGACTCAATAATGCTAGTAGAACTCAAACTAAGCTGTCATACTATTTCAAAAGAAGACTCAATAACTCTAATCCTACTTATGCAATGACTCTAACATTTTAAACATAAACAAATTATAACTAGACAAATTAAACCCTATCATTGGACCCCCCACAGAAAATTGCAAAATGACAAAAATACCCCTACAGTCCAAAAATACAGAAATGCATAAAATTTCATAAAATTCCAATTTTGCCTCTTCAGCTCCTGCATCAGAGAGGAATCAGAGAATTTTTCTTGATAAAGAAAAATGCAAGGATGCTATTATTGAAGCCATTACCATTAGAGTAGTCCATTGGGTGAAGACATTGGATCTATTCAAGGATACTTCTGCAGATGAACTAATGAGAAAATGGTGGGAGGTGGTGGTTCTTCTCCTCTTAGAGAAGTTACTAGGCCTGTTTGATCCCCTCTATCTCAAGATTTCATCAAGCTTAATTTCAATGATAACAGTGAAGGTAATCCAGGTCCATCTGGAATCAGAGGAGTCTTCAGAGACAAGGAAAAGTCATTGTGATTTATTCAAGACCAATTGGAATAGGTGATTCATTGAGAGCTGAGATTATGGTTGTGGTGGAAGGCGTCTGAAAGGCTAAAGATCTGAATATTAGAAAGCTTCTCATTGAGGGTTATTCGAAGCTTGTGATTAAGTGGCTTCAAGGGGAGGAGAATGCTGGATGGTGGTACTATATCTTTGAAAAGAGAAAAGCCTTGAGATTGCTTCAGGGGATGGTTTCAAATGGGTGAGAAGGAATGCCAATGTATTTGCTGGCACACTTGCTAAACAAGGGGCGGGAAGGGATAGCTTGTTTTGGGCTGTGTTGTAATAGATTCTTTTATTGGGGAGGGCTAAAAGAGTTTTATCTCTCCCCCTTTTAGTTCTTGTACCCATTTGACTCCTTCTCAATTAATGAAATTGTTTCTATTATTGATCAAAAAAAATTAAATTATTAAATTCTAAATAGCACTTTAGTCAACAAATTGATCTCAATAATGTCGACCTAGAAAGAAATGGATCAGACAAATGAGGATTTTCAACAATGCTCTGTTAGGAAAATGGATGTGGAGATTTGGTATGGAAAGAAATAAATGGAGGAGGAGTTCAGTTGCAGCTAAATATAACACAGATAGAGGTGATTGGATAACCACCTCTTTAGGTTGCTCAGTTTGGAAAAAAATTATGGAAATCCTTCCTAATTTCAGCAGAGGTTTGAATCCTAAACTGGGGAAAGGTGATAGGCTGGCCTTTTGGAAAGACCCTTGGTGTGGAAATACTCCTCTCTCAGACCTGTTCCCGCAGTTGTTCCAGCTTGCCGAGGCCTAAGATGTAACTATATCTGATTGCTATGAGGTGAATGGCAGCTCAGTTATCTGGTGTTCATCAGTTAGAAGAAACTTTCAGGACTGGGAGATTGGAAAATTCTCAAAATTACTTGAGCTGATCTCTCTTCAGCCCCTGGATCTGCTCAGTGCTCACAGATGATAGCTGGACTTGGAACTGGAGTTCAGATGGTCAGTTTTCAGTCAAGTCCTTTGCCCTTTACCTGCCAGACAGGAATTTGAAAGACATACCTGCAGCTAGAATTTGGAACCCAATTTCTCCTTTTAAAATTAATGCTCTGTTTGGGCTTCAGCTATAGACAGGTGCTTAACCAAAGTTCAGTTATCAAAAAGAGGTTTACACCTCCAAGACCTGTTATGTGTGTTATGTGGCCAAGCTTGGAGGATAGTAATCATCTGTTTCTCCACTGTTCTATCTCAGCCATGATCTGGAACCATTACTTTTCAGCTCTGGACTTGCCTGGGTTATGCCTGGATCAGTGAAGGAGTTGTTCAGGTGTTGGGAATTACAGAGTCTGTCAAAGCTTGCTAGAAGTCTGTAGGGATCAATTCCGGCAGCTGTAATCAGCACTATTTGAGCAGAAAGAAATAAAAGACTCTTCCACAGTATCTCCAAAAATCCAGAAGAGCTGATTGCATTTTCTTTTGGAAAATTGCTCTCTTGGGTCTCAGCTGTAAAGGAAATTCAGGTCTCTCATCTTGGGGCTAGGCTGAACTTTAGGAATTTCTGGCATCTGTAATGGTGTATGGTCTGTCTGACCCTTCCCCGAGAGTTTTTTTTTTTTTTATTCTCATATCAATAAAATTGCCTTACCTTCTTCCGAAAAATAAATAAATAAATAAACAATGTCGACCTAGAAACCATTACCACCACAGATAAAAAACCAACTTATAAAGGTAGGCTATAATTTGGAACACCAGGTAATCATGAAAATTTTTTTGCTTTATATGCATTTCCTATTTTCAGGTATGGAATTCCAAGATTCCTTTTGGGTTTTGTTACTCAAAGAAAACAAATTAAAAAATAAATAAACATTTTTTCCAGACTCAAGAGATGGAGACTTTTGGACCATTCTGGTCTGTAGGATACTAGCATGTAATTCGTGAAATCAAATGAAGATCATCATCCATACCATGTGAAGCTAGTAACAAGTGAGAATATGTATGAGAATGGAAATACTAAAGGTCGGCACTTATTGACCATGTAGAGGACCATCAATTAGTTCAAACAAACTTAAATACAAGCAATTAAGAGCCAGAAATTATATGGTTTTTAAAAGCGAAGCAGCTTATATATCTCAAATTGAACACATGGAAACACTATTTGACAATAAGGAAGACATTAAGTAATATATGGAAAGGTACAAACACCTAGAAAAGGTCAGCATCAAAAGACAACAATACTTGGAGAACCATTATCCATTCTAGGGTCAAGAAGCAAGTACTAAAAGACATTTTCAAAAAAATGCATAAAAAATGTTAACTCCCACTCCTGCTAAATATGAGAAATACATTATAGAGAACCTTGTTGGCCTGAAACAGGAAAATTCTACTTCAGCACATCAACATAACATTTCATAGTTGGTCAGCATATCAGTTCAATTCTACCTCAACTATTTATTCTGGTGACAATCCCTTGTAAACAAAACTCTGAGATATTCAAAATCACTCTATGAAAGCCATTTCTCCTACTCAATTGATGACTTTATTGTACAAAGAAACAAACAAGCAAAGCCCCATCAAGGGCCAGAATGTCGTAAGATGAACCAAATACAAAAATATGTTTTCTTTTCCTCAACAAGAAGGATAATGATCCTCCACAGTCTCTAAAAAAATATATATCTGCGAGGAAAGGTTAATAGAAGAAAATCACATTCAAGAAGCAGTTATATGTTCTACAGATATTAAAACTTCTCCCCATAGTAATAAGCAGTGCCAACCATCAAAGCAACTGTGGCACCTTGGACAACCACCCGTGCTCTCATTAGCTTCTGACCCAACTGAGAGTTCCCCTGTCTAAAACTGATCAAGCCGGCTGTGAGAACCCCTGCGGTTAAAAGTGCACCTGAAATATTTACAATCATCAAATGAACTGAAAGTGAGTACCAGAACCAGAAATAGCCAAAATAATTATTTAGTGTTTTTTTAAGATAAATAATAATTATTTGGTGCTTCCTATTCGCGTATTTAACTAGTCATGTTCTTTAAAGGAATACTTGAAATTCTGTCCTTGAAATGTTAATCACATTAGCAAGAATCTTTTTACCTAATCAAAAATCTATTTGCAAAATTCCAAAGGGTGAACGACAGCACATCTTCTTGATCACATTTCAAACCAGATAGTTTGCAAGATGGAAAATAGTGAAAGCAGAATGGTAACTTGCAACTGTGGAGATGCTGCTGATGCAGAAATTGTGGAGATGAGGGCTCTCTATTTAGCAGTTGAAGTGACATTGAATTTTCCAGATAGAGAGGTGTTGGTGCAGGGTGATTGTTTGGTGGTGATATCCCATATGACTAGGGGTGTCAATTGGACTGGATTTGGTCCAATCCAATCCGGTCCAATGTGAGTCCATTATAAATGGACCAGGTCCAATCCAATCCAATGAATGTTTTGGACCAATTTGAACCGGTCCAATTCAATGTTTGGACCGTCCAATCTGTTCAAATTCATTTTGATTTAGATTGGTTTCAACCCAAA